TCAACAACAAAAATGTCTGACTTCAAATTGTGTGTATTTTTATTCATGTTATTCGTTATAAAACATGTCGGTGGTGAGAAGTCCGTAAAAATATGGACAGCGGGTTCAAATATCATTTTGCTGTCGTTTTCAAAGCAATAGGTATATTGCCACGCCATTAGAGCTCGAGCCACTGAAATCCCTAGTTTTCAGACTTATGTAGAAGTCTACGGGGAAAAAGCATGACAAATTATACAAACGACATTTTTACATGTGACCGCACAGGAAATTGTATTTCAAGTGTGAATAACCCCATACCGTTCCATGACTTTGTGATTTTAATCATGAGCTTGCTTCTTTTATCTTTTACTCGACGTCCAATTGATCATAGGCAACGATTATCCCCCTCATTAATCATGTTCACAAACCCCCTGGACATAATCATGTCGACTTCGATGCAATTGGTTTTGCGGTCGAGCCATATTATTTCGTCACACAATCGTACAGTACAGAATTACATCCTTCTTTCTCTTGATCACGCTCCCGAAGCGGTAAGGTTTTAAAGGAGTGCTGCACAAGTGGTTGTCGTCATATCTCCTGGAACGTACACCTGTTCGGTCGGAAATGACTGGGGAATCCCGCAAGGCTCTATTATAGGGCCTGTCCTCTTTGCGTTTCGTACTGCATCGATGAATGAAATCAGCAAAGCTCATGGACCATGATACACACAAATGACATTCAGGTATACTTAACATTCCCAACAAGTGACATAGATATTGTCATAAGTCGTGTTAATAAGTGCATCAAGGACATTCCTTTTTGGTCAACTAAACATAAGTTTCGCTGTACTTGTCAATGCATCCAGAACAGCATCCAAGACAAAAGTTTGCTCCATCTTATTTGCACTCTTCTTTCACCTCTGTCAGCGAAGCAGGCAATTTGGGTGTGGTCATATACAAATAATGCACTGCAGTGAGGGCATTAGTAAGAATTACCCATACAAGGTACTTTTGGAACAGTCTAACACGCCCGAGGTGATAGCCGAGGGTGTTTGGACTGTTTCAAAGGTACCGAGTGTGGGTAATTTTACTAATGCCAGAACAAAATGCCGTGTATTATTTGTTTTATAAAATTATCACGTTGGTCCTTGTTATTTGATAAAGCACCCTCATCTCAAAGTCCGTACATTAGGTCTACATCTATGACTATAACGAAAATAACTAATGCGTTTTAAATTCCGCGGCAGCCATTTTCGCGAGTAAAAGTATAACGATAAATCTCAATGGTTGCGATCGCAAAACATGATCGCCAATGACTGGTCATTACCATAGGATAATGACCGGTAGTTATCCAAATTTTCGTTAGGCTGAATAAATGCATGGTCACGTGTACGCTTTCAACCAATCATTTGATTAGGACCAACGTCATCATATTATAATGGATATTAAAGCACCTTTCAAAGACTGATCACATTACCCAAACATGTCAGTTGGCATTCATGGCAATATCTTAATATAGAAGATCTGTTGAAATTCTTGTTCATGCTCTGATTTTGTATCATGGAGGCAATTGTAATTCAATGTTTTATGGGCTTCCATAAAGGAATAAAACCGAGTTCAGAGAATCCAAAATGCAGCAGTAAGGTTGATAGCGGGTGCTTGTTCAAGAGACCCCGTTACACCAATTCTCAAATGACACAACTGTTTGCCTTTTTGAGTAACGTGTGGTTTTCAATATACTCATTAATTGCTTTAAGGCACATAACAATCTCACTCTATCTGTATATCATAAATTATTCATAAACACACTCAAGTTGTATACTCTTCGATCAACTTCTGGCTGTACACCCTGTAAATATTAAAACAAACGGAAACTGATCGTTCATATGTCATCAGCTCCTACTCTGTGGAGTTCTCTACCCATAACAATTAGACATATTATCTTTTCTCGATACTTTTAAGAAAGCCATAAGGAACTATCTTTTCGCACAGTTGTGTTTATATTTTTCATTATTACGTACTTTAATGTAAAGCGCATAGAGACTTGGATTTCATTATCATGCGCTATGCAAATTCAAAGTAGAAATTTATCGTAGTATTTACTGCAATGTGATAAGCGTTTAATAACAGGGGTTTCCACAAAAACGGAAAAAAGGATCTTTATTTCGTTATTTTGACTTTAAGACGATGGGAGGCGTTTTTTGAGACATGAGATGTCGTCTTTTCACTACACAAGTCACGCATCAGTGCATTCGCATATAACTAAGCTCTGGCGACACATGTAATGCTCCAGTGACAAATTCAACCGGAGACTAAACACTGTAGGCTAATCATTAACTGAACCCTATAACCTCAAACCCAATTGCAAATGTCTCTGGAGCAACTGTCAGATAGTGACATATCAGGGGGGGGGGGTTGACTAACACTAAAACACCTTTCAGTTGGAATTAATTACGGCAGGCCGTTCATGCCACTGTTTGCTCTCACGATTTTGAACTTTAGATATGTTTTCCTTCAATGATGAATAATAAAAAAAAAAGTAAATTCTGTAGAATTGTGACCCTGGCGTGTACGTCCCTTGAAAGACCAATGCCAGTAAATTGTGAAAGCACACATTGGCATGAACGGTCTGCCATAGTTAAGCCCAACTTAAGGTCGATCTTAGTCTTTGTGAAACACCCCTAGCTATGCTGCCCCGCCTGCCCGCCTCCTGTCTCTTCTATGTGCAAATTCATGGCAAGTGCCCGACCTTCTTGTAATCAATCCATAGGCCAAGCGCTAACATTATTTTTATATTACTTTCTGAAAAGATGGATGAATTCACCCCACTAAATTTGTAACGTCATATTCGTTTTGAGAGTTATACGAGGTCTATATCTAACATGCTATTTCAAAAGAGGTCTGTTCAGTATTTCCTACGAACTTCGGTATCAAATTTTGTCAAGAAAACTGCTCAATGCATTTCGTTGAATTCATATATCCTTTTGAGGGTTTCCGATAATCTTCATGTTTTTGATATTCCCCTAGAGAGGCAAGAGATGTTAAAAAGGTCAATAATGATTTCAGTTTTCCTCAAGTTTTCTTCGAATTGTTCACAAAAATAAAATAGTCTTAAAATGAGAAACATTACAATAACATGACCCACGATCATCTCTTACGAAGAAAAGAAAACAAAACAGAAAGAGAAGACAAAAAGGACAGTCCGGAAATGAAAAATGATAACAATAACATCTCCGGAGGATCAGAAGCGGAATTTTCATGCCAAACTGATCTTTCACCTCTAGTTTCTCGCCCTAATCCGACCTGCCCGTATTCATGTTGTGATAATGCGCTCTCGTTACGTATCTTAACTGTTCGGATCTGAACTTTACCTCCCAAGCTCAGTATCCTTTTAAGATAAATATTTTCATTTCTCCTGGCGTTCTCCATTAGAATTGTATCAAATGACCGACACAATTTCTCAATCATGATTATCCACTACGAATACAATTATCAGGTATTATTAGTTTCGAGAAATTCAAGGTGAAATAATTGGTTACATTTAACTTAAGTCTTCAGATAATGCATTGCCCTAAAACATATAATACCAATATCCCAAAGACTATTGAAGTCTAAAATAAAGTTTCACGAAGTTCCTTAATTTCAAATATTCAACACTGTTGTCTCTTGGGAAATAAGTGTGCTAGTGGGCAGATTTACAGTTAACGACTTTATTATTTGTACCCTTACTAAGTTTTGATTTTTTGTCAAGTATGTGAAAAATGAATTCGTCCCCATGTATGCTTCTTGAGAATGTGACATATATATATATATATATATATATAAAGCTTACATTTGAAAGTATTAAATAAAGGCCCTAATTCAACCAGTCCACCTCTTATTCGTAAGTTACGAAATAAACGTATTTTAATGGGTGATGAACAATACTAATGAAATTGCCTTAAGTTTATTTTTTCCGAAAGTGTTTATGATCGCGTGGGTTAGCTACGTAAAGGTGTTATGGTGTTACAGTGAATTGCCTTCTTTTTTCTTTGCTTTTGAATGTCTGTATTTTGTGAACCTTCCCTTAACTAGAACGTGCCGCCAGCCTTGACCTAGATAGTGCAGAGTTGTCGCCTTTTTCCTTCTGTTGCTATTTTCCTTGAAACGATCATAATATATTCCATCGATGTGACTTTAGAGACTCTTTCTGATGAATGCTCTTTTCAGTCCCTGGAAGAATACAAAGCGCCCTCGAGAGAAAATGTCGACGGAAACTCTAGGGTTCTCAGTCCTAACCATTTTGCTCAGTTAAGCAAGCCTTTAACTTCTATACACACCATTTTACATTTCATTATTGGAGTGAAAGTCTAGCTCTAAATAGTGATTTCCCAGGGACGTTTTTTTTCTCTCTCTCTCAAAGACTTTAAGTTCTTGGCGATACCCTACTGTATTTAGATAAACACATAACACCTGCTCAGAAAAGAATACAAATGTCATTGATCTGAATACCGATTACGCGCCACAGAAGTCACCATAAAACTGAACTTTGCAATTGCGGGTTGTTTAATTCATTTACCTGCGCTGTTGGAGATATCATGTTGCTGAAAATTGATCAACACATTATTCTTTCACAATTGTAATCCATTAAGATATTCGGTCGTACGTAAAAGAAGCTTGACTGAAATACAAATCTGGTAACATGCTGATTAAATAAAGTACCTAGGCAAGATACACTATTTTTGTGAACACGGAATAGAAAGAAGAATAGAGATGACAGGGATTCTAGTATTTAAAATATTTAGCATGTGCCGATAACACACAGTGAAATTCGCAGCACCTCTGCGACCATCTCACGAAATAATATTTTGTTGAATACAGATGTTTTGTGGCAGAACCAATTTCAATGCGTCTTAATAACCATGGGCGGGCATTGACTAAATACGTAAGTAACAGACCGTCATAAAATTGTTGCCTTCTTCATCTGTATAATTAATTTCTAACTTCTTTTTCTGTTTCCTTTTTCAGGCCTTTCTTGTTGATGGTCATCCATAATTGAAAACGCAACACGAAGTGAGATTATTATGTAATCAGTCCTTGTAGTGGTATGGGCCGGGAAACCAATGTTCTTTACACATTTTCTTCTCGACGATATACCACAAGAGATACAACCGAGAGAGCAAAGTGAAAACTAATTTCCTGTTTGTTCCAGTCAATGCTACTAACACATAGGAACGGCCAATTGTCAAAGAAGGCATGAAGTATATCCACTGACGCCTTTGGCGCATGCGCTATGTTACGTTTGAGTTCAGAGACGCGTTTTACATCGCTACTAAACCTGTTACCAGCCCCAGTCATCTAATCCTTGTGTGCACCCAGGAAAGAATAGCTGGGGTATACAAGACTTTCATGAGGAAAAAGTCGGATTTCAGTCCTGTCGACAGAACAAGGAAGTAAACACAGGACTAAAGATTTGTATTTTGATTTCAGATTTATGTTGAGTAATTAAAGTTAAAACAATATAAAGATGGAGTCTATTATTGTGATATTGAATTCATCGGTACCGGCTGATAACTACTCAGTAATATCTGGAAGTAACTACTCAGAAATACGGGAACTGTACAAAGAACCTCCATGGATACAAGCCCTCTATGGTGTAATCTTTGCCCTTGTGACTGTGTTAGGCGTTGGTGGGAACTCTATCGTCTGCTACATTGTGCTTGGAAACCGGCGCATGCGCACCGTCACAAACTACTCCATCGTGAATTTAGCGGTAAGCGATATCCTCATGGCGGTCATGTGTGTCAATTTTTCATTTTACGCCGCAATGTATATGACGTGGCCCTTCGGGGAGTTCATGTGTAAAGCGGTATCGTACATCCAAAGCGTGTCTGTGTCTGTGAGTATCTTTACGCTGGTGTCCATCGGTGTGGACCGTTACATAGCGATATGCCATCCTCTAGTTCTACGTATGGGATCATCACAAGCATTGACAGTCATCGCGGTTATCTGGGTAGTCGCGTGCGTAGTAGCGCTACCTTCTTTAATATTTTCCACGGTCGGCGTAGAGGGGGACTCAACATTTTGCTCTGAGAGCCACTGGGAACAATCTAAAATTTACACGTATATCCTGATGGGTATCCAATATTTTGTACCACTTTGTGTATTGGCTGTTACCTATGGTAGGATTGGTTATGTAATCTGGAGTAGACGAACACCCGGAGAAACACAAGCTAGCAGAGACAAGAAGATCAACGAGTCAAAAACAAAGGTAGGGAAATTTGGCTGAGGATACTACGTATGCCCAAAGAAACTATGTTTGGTGATAATGGTTTGTTTCTTCTGGATAATTCGGTTCAGCTCTACGATTCTAATACCCTTTAAAATCGTTGTACTAAAGATTGCCTCTCTTCATGTCAGAGTAGTTAGTGTGGACATTATAGTATATACCTGTCTGTCGTTAGATTTTAACATCGCTATACGAAGAGATGTGCCAATAAACGCTGGGACTATTAGACGTCTATCTTGGTTCTTGGTTGGTTGGTCCTCCAAAATATTCGTCTGAGTTTTGACTGGAGGTGCGGGTAGGGTGTATTAATTTGTAGATGGGGCTGATATAATTTTTTGATTGGCCAAGAACAGATCCCCAGTTTATTAAGTTGGAAGCCCCCCCCCCCCACCCAAAAAAAAAAAAAAAAAAAAAAAAAAAAAGTACCCATAATAAGCAATTCACACGTCAAAACAAGTCCATTTTTTAAAGCTAGAGAGTCATTTCCATAAGGGGAGCCTGTTATAAAAGCGTAACACTGTTTAACAAACTAACGGGTCATTCTCTGTTTTGTCTATATTTTCAGCTCGTCAAGATGTTCGCTATGGTCGTTCTTCTCTTCGCCTTGTGCTATCTACCAATCCACTTCTTCAACATCCTCCAGGAGGTCTACGAGAATGTCCTCTACTACCGCTACATCAAGCTGGTCTACCTCACTGTACTCCTGGCAGCCATGAGCAACTGTGTCTACAGCCCTTTTATTTACTGCTGGATGAACGCCAAGTTCCGCAACGGCTTCAAGTCTGCGTTCCGATTCCTCCCCGGCGTGCACTACGACAACCAATGGAAAGTGGTTGCGCATTTAGAACGTGGCAACACCGCCATGACGCAACTGACGACGTCGCCGTCGCGTCGGCTTCGTGGTGGTCCATCGGATGCGAAACATTGCTGGCCCGAGCATAGCTACGAGTCGCTTAGCAACGGGAACGGGAGTCCTATGAGGGACAAAATGGTTGCCGTGTGAGCAGATTATGCAGATTGGGCCGAAAACATCACTTATGAACAAATAATAATTATTGAAAAAAGAGAAAGAAAGAAAGAACATACACTTTGGTAGGATGTACGTTATCAAACCCGTGCAAAGACTTGTGTACAAATGTTTGCATGAAAAGGAACACATATTGTTTACCACGGACTATGGTAATAATGCCTTAAAACATTACTCTCTGTAAAGAAGGGGAAATGTTTCCACAAATTGATACATATTGGAACACGTGCTATTGAATACACGGTCCAAGGATGTGTTATCAAGGGCAAAACATCTCTGGAAGGTTAAATGCTTATGTAAAAGTATAGAGATTATTAAAGTTCTTAAACTCATTCTTTAAAACAAACTGAATAAAAATCCGCGATCGGAAAATATCAAAATTTGCCTCTGCAACTATAAGTACGACTGACAGCTTGGCTACTTCCATGTCATGAACCTGTCAATGCACAAAGGATTATTGTAGAACTATAGACAGATACTGGATACAGTCTTTTATGGAACACGATGGACGTCCCCTACCAATAGGACAAGTGAACTTTCAGTGAACCGGCAATGCCTTTTAGCCATTCTGATCATTCTGCCACTGCAAAACACTCTATGGCAGTGGCTAAACCGATTTAAAGTAGTCACCCGAAGAAAATTCACGACAACTGATTTTCTATTGAAAAACACGGATGATTTGCTGCAAAATAATAAAGACAGGGAAAGGCGTTAAATGCTTTGGGGTTAGCTGTGTCTCGCATGTGACGTCACGAATCTTGACGCTCTACGGAGGAAAGCTGAAGGCAGAAAATCTGGATCTCAAAATTAACATTTTTGAGAGATGATTACTGCAGGCCCCGAACATTTATATTTTGAAGAGGGAAGTTCTTATATTTGATCAGTAAGGCTTCGCAATGATATGAATCTGGCATCAAATTACACCACTTTTGATTCTTCGGGTGACTTCTTTAATTCTAATTTGTTTAAAGAATGATAAAACAATGTCATAGTATATGAATTCGACTCTCGCGTTTCATCTACGCAAACTGAATTTTGTCACCGATTGATTTACGTAATTAAGGTATTGCGTATCGTAGGCATGTTTAATGTGATGACAGAATCTACGTCAACTATTTCAAGTTTCTAGTGGCTGGTATAACAGCAGGTTGATGCGGCTTGCAGACATACGGAGCAAATGGATGACATTAGTTGTCCAAAAATAAGATTCGTCTCTTATAACTGACATCTCCCATCCCACGTCCTAATGCACAATGACCTATTACCCCCATTAAATGTACAGTAATTTACCTTTGACAGCTAACGTATACAATTACATAGTAAATACACCATTCTGAAAGACGAAAACACGGACTATTACTATCGACTGAGACAGTACCTTGATGCATGTACCAACATTACAGTCCAACACTGAAGACTGCTATGCGCACCGACAGTATACAGTTCCTATACTTTTATTATTGCGAGGTTTGTTGTCCGTTCATTCATTTGAAAAATTTACGAGTATATAAACTAATTTCCGAAAGAAAAAAAAATACAAAGATTGAAAAGAACACACGCACTACTATATCTCCCTCACTACGCAAGGTTTTTTTTTCCTCTTGATCGACTGACTTAACATGATGTAGACGTGCATGGCGCTGCATCCTTATTAAAGTAACACTTACTGCACAATTACTCCCCAAATGCTTTTCTTTTTACAGCGTTCTGTAAGACCGAAGAAGATAGCAACTGAAATAAACCCTAATTTGACTGACTTAATATCCTAATATACGCTTCAACTAACTTCTTTCGCATCAATGTATATATATATATTTAATTGTATTCACATTGAAAACTGAATGACCTTTCACCGTCAAACCGTCGGCCTTCACAGACTTCCGATTTCTTTCTGTCGTTCTAAATCCGTGTCCACCTGTAACATGACTGCAATTCGTAACACATTGTTTAAAATGACTGCTTTTGAAAGGGATTTGAACGAATTCTTGGAAAGTCAAGAAAAATATAAACACAACCTATACCAGCTATGCCATAACTACGAGACTGACAATATACCGACGACAGAGCAAGAAGAGGTTGTACATTTTGATTTTGTTTACAGGACCACCGGACCCCGAACGCACTCCCTGCGTGGATTTGTTGTGTGGTTGTGGACGTGCGGATGGGGTCATCCCCCTCAAATCCTTAATGATATAGAGTACCGAAGCTTTAGGAGCCAGAGCATATGAAACTGAGTTTCCATAGGACATATATTTATTCAGATGGTCATATCTCAGCCAATACTTAACATATTCAATTGGTTTTCGACATGTGGACATTAATTTTGATGCTCTTTCGGAAAATAAAGAACAAATTGAGAAAGTCCAAAAATAGAATTGTTATGACGTCACACTTCACCACTCTATACCTTTAACTCGTTTTAATGCACCTAGTGTGTCCCCAATGATAAGACCGACTCAACGCAGCTGACTCTACCGACGTGTGACCAAGTACTTCAGGACCATTGTGGACGAGGGGCTCTACATGATTTTAGTTCGACTGCCACACTCTATCTAGATCAACCGACTTTCTGACCAGAAATTAACTATCCGTGAAACCAAAGAACTGACATGTCTTTTGGAGGTAAAAAGGAAAAGTCTAAAATCTGCGGACTACTTACCAATCCGCCACTGACAGTGACTTTATAGACAAGACTATTCACCAACACAATATGGACTTTCAAAATCTATACCCTTTCCAGCACTGTCTTGGTTATGTCTACATTAATCATTAAGGTCGAACAAACATCACGTAATTCTTTATTTCCTTCTTTCCACTCCTCACCCTCGACTGAGATCATAACAGACTACAACATATTGTCCTTGCCATCATCTTGGCCTTGATCCCTAGAATAAGCGAGTTCGTAATTAGGATTTGCGCATGGGCAGATAAAGGTCATTCGTACCCAAATTGTAAAACCATTGAGACGAATGCTCGGATCATGCTCATGAAAGTATTAATTTATGCACCAACAGTACATGATACACAGGTGAAAGTATTCCTCTCAAGAGGCAAGCAAAAGGTATTCATGAAGCACCTCCATCACTTTGGCAGTGATTATTCTAAAATGCACAGGTGGGAAGTATCCATCGTGTCTAAGATCTGTGGATATTTTGGGGTCATGCGTTTCAGAGCTATTTACGAACTCGCTTATTGAATGCCGTGACGACGACTGAGACCGACATCATTATTACGTGCCTTCAAAAGCTCGTTCAAATATGACGCTGCAAACTTCAAACTGCCGAAAAGAATATTTTGGAAGTGTTAGAAAATGAACTACAAATGTCCAACAAGTTTTTACTAAACTCTGTGTTATAACATCAAAAAACGTTAGCGTGTTACACTTTTCGTCATCTTTAACCAAAAGAAAACACTGCATTTTGCAGCTACATATATCTGAATAAACCTAAAGCAATTGGTATTACTGACATACTATACTTCCGACGAGACTGATCATTTAATCTAACTATTTAATCTATTTAACTATATCGTCTAAAAGTATACATTACTTCGGAAATAATATTGATTTTCGAAATTGCATAGACCAGAATGGAGATACAGTACATTGCCTTAAATGTACATATTCATGTATAATGTAAATTTCAATTGATGAGTATTGAAATGATGTCAAAATAATCTTTTGAGCATCTTGTCGGTTAATTATAAATGTTACATAAATCAATTGCCAAGATAATGGGAATTGGTAATAGCGTACAATTTAGAAGGATACACACGCCTTTGAATTACGAAGCGTGGCGATGTCTCTCTCGATGGTTAGGAGATCCTTCCACACGAGATACATGTAGGATTGCGATGATGGAAAATATTGACACTTTAAATATAAACAGTGTGTTTATACTGTCACTGCATGAAAGGACGTGTATCGAACAAGTGAATAAAGGTGTGAAGCTGTTACACTATGCACATGACTGACAAAGAAATATACAGTTCCTCAGGTAGACAAAGGAACATCCCTTCACTGCTATTATGTAAAAATGTGTAGAACAGGACTGGTGTCACATGCATATTCACTTTTTACATAATAGCAGTGAAGGGATGTTCCTTTGTCTACCTAAGGAACTGTATATTTTGTCCGCTTTCTTTGTCAGTTATGTTCATAGTGTTAAAAGCCCCACTGCACTACTTAAAGCTACTTGCGCCCTCTACAGTGTGAGTCAAAAAACGTTTACACCTAGAAAATTGCTAATTATCTAAAAAATCATCTATGAACAGTAAATTATTATAAATCTTATGAAAGAGTGTTTTATCACGAATCGTTTGGTATCATTTTTGTGTGGTATGTGTTCACGTTTGGATAAACAGGAGTAATTGTTTGCGAGAGTGCAAAAATCGACTTGCGCCAAAGTTGCTTACGTGATGTTTGATTAAACCAATTGGGATTTGGGTATTAATTCGTTCTTTGCAGATGCAAATAACATCCCTAACAAAATTAAAATCATGCCACACATATCAAATATTGAATATCAAATATCAACGAACACTTGTGCGCGCGCGTCTGTGTATGTGTGTGACTTTGCTTCTGCACAAAGCATATGCAAAGCATTTCATTTGATACATCAATTCATTCTTTCACTCCGCTAATCGCAACATCATACATACTGTAGGCATCACTTTGGCGCAAGTCGATTTTTGCACTCTCGCCAACAATGCCTCCTGTTCATCCAAGCGTGAACACATACCCCCCCCCCAAAAAAAATATGATACCAAATGATTTGGGATAAAAAAAAACTCTTTCATAAGATGTATTGTAATTTGCTGTTCATAGATGATTTTTAAAATAATTAGCAATTTTCTAGGTGTAAACTATTTTTTGACTCACACTGTATACAGTCAACAATGCCTTAGCGGTACCTGTTGTTCCCCCATGATGCCATTTTTCGTATGTTAATTGAGAGGTGATTTGATGAGATAAACACCTGCCAGTGACCTTGCAGGGAGGTTTAATCCCTTCATGCCAAATTAGTGCAGAGGGGCTTTAATAGAAGGTTGAGTTCTGGGGAGAGGGGACAATTTATTTGTGGGCGTTTTCATTGTAATAAGCAAGTGTGGAAGGACAACAGAGAAAAAAAATATTCCCTGAAAAGCATTGCTCTTTAAATGCATTCATATTCTAAAATTGATCATGTCAATGCAATGTAGTCCCCTTTAGAAACGATTTCTTTTTCTTCAAATGTATGATTTTTATATTTGTGGTTCACCTACTTACTCTGTCAGTCAGACACAACTTGGGAAAACCGAGAATAGACAGATTCTACGAAAACGGAATATTTAACCCACAATAAATGCAAGGCAAAGTGTTCACAAATCATTGGTAAAGGGAGCCTGCTGTTATTTTCATTAAAATAAATGTATTTTTGACAAAAATGAGGCTGTAGATACATAACCTTATTACTTTCACATCCCTTGTCCATCATTTGGTAAATGCCTGTCAAGGAGGATTCTTTAACTTTTAAGTTTCATATTATGCAACAAGCCAAACTTCAGCTGTTTTTCTTACCAATCATTATAATAGGTTTGTTATTTTTGAACAGTTACCTTCACGTAGTACAAGTAGAACTTGTGAGTAAAATGATGTAGACATACACTGTATTACTAATGGCGTCACAATATTATTATGCCAGTTTGCTTTTCATGAAGTACTACAATAAATGAATGATGTGACGGAAATGGAAAATTAATGTTTTTCCTTGTTTGTGTTTATTATCGAATGTGTTCAAAATATGATTGTCAACGTTGACATTTTTAGGTAAATATTCATCGCATTTTAAGCAAA